AATTGAAAAAATTTATAGGTCACATTTCGTTCGTCGATCACAAATTAAAATTTTAAAAATCACAATTTGTTCATCAACATAAATCACAAAATTTATAAGTCACACAATTTATTTTTTGGTCACATATTACTCTTAATGGTCACAACTTAATAAATTTGTAGGTCACACAATATTTAATGGTCACAATTTATTCTTTATTGGTTACATACCAACCAATTTATTGGTCACAATCAACAAAACATTTGTGACCACCACCAACACAACACCATCATCGTCTCTACCGCCACCGTTGCCGCCACCACCAACACCACTGAAGTACACCACCACCAAGACCACCATAACCATCACTTCATAGCAACAAAATCACTGTTTCAAACATTGCACCCAATGTTATAACCACTACCACTACACCAATATTGCTGCCACCACCACCTCCACCTCTACCTCCACCTCCATTGCGCCCCACACTAACCCCAATCCACTACACCTACCACCAAAACAATAGGACACCATCGCCACTACCTATCCAAAACCACCTCCCCACCAAAACACACAACCACCGCACCCTCCAAAACAACAGGACCTCACCACCACCTCCTCGCCAAAACACACAGAACCATCGTACCACGCCAAAACACACAGACCACCTCAACCGCATCCAAACCGGAAAAAGACCCTCCAGATAGGAACCGCCGTACCCAACCCCCACCACCGCATCCTAAATCGCGCGCACACCTCGCATAGATCACAAACCTCCACCACCGCACACCACGCCACTACCACCTACTCCCGTCTAGGGGCCCACTGTTACCACCTCAGCAGTCACAGTTGCACCCACACCAATTTCAACCTCCTCCGCCTGATTTTCATCAGTACCACCCCTCTGCTTAGCCATTTGTCGCTCTTCGACATCGACGACGGCGGAGGGAAGAAGAGAGAGGCGAAAGAGAGAAAGAAAGGCAAGAAATGAGAGAACATGAGAGGTTAGAGAGAATGTGATAAATGATTTTTGATTTTTAAGGTTTAGGTAATTATAATTTAGATAGAAATTAATTATATTTAATATTTAAAATGAAATACCTGAT